TTAATGCTATTAATTTTAATGTAGATAGATTGGAAAATTTAAATTTTCAAATTTAAAATGAATAATCAATAAGTTGACAAGTAGCAAGTATTAATTATGAGACATAATAGTGTGACACATGACAAAAGAAGAATAAAATATGCATTAATTAAGAGGTCTAATAAGGTGACACATATCAAAAAGAGAGTAAAACTATTCTTTTATTAGAATAGGGAGATATATAACATTTGGTTGAAATTAATTGAATTATAAAATATAGTTTTTACTTGTATAAGGTGTCCAAATTTTGTAGTTTTATCACTTGCAATCACTTCATTATATTTTTCTAAAATTTATTTTGTACTAGGTAGATTGCATATGCCTTTTGGCGAATATTCGTTTGAAATTAATAAAGATTAGGCAAATTGCTACCACTAAACGAAAGCTTCCCGTACTTATGTTTGATGGTTCATATGGATTCGGAGTGATAAGGATGACGTTATCCACCATATAAACGTGGTATGGATAAAATGGATAGCAACCACCATAGTGTTTTTTGACAGGAAGGTCTGATTAAAGTTGAAAAAAACTCTAAGATTGTTGTAAGGTTAGCTATGTTGTATGGATTCCAATGTTATACCAACTAAGAGTAAGCATGAAAGAAAAATGGAGTTCACATAAATAAGTATGTGTGGTAGCAACTGGTTAAGCGCCAGCATTCGAACTCCATAATTACAAACTTATTAGGAGTGTGTGACAATCAATGAGATATTAAGGGGAGGAAGATTGTGGTGGTTTAAACATGTGTGTAAGAGACTAATTAAAATATAATTTTCAATGTCGAGCCTTCAATTTTTGATATCCCGCCATTTGACTTTGTGATTTTGAAGCTGCTATTCACTACTACTACAAAATACTGATTAAAATTTGAAACGACCAATAGAATACCCTAAAGCTTGAAACGACAGGATTTCTAAGCTGTATCACAACTATATTTCCCACATCGATCCTATTGACGAACAATTTAAACTTTTCTATCATGTTTTGGAATCCATCTAGATTACTCGTCAATCCTATGTTCTGGTTTAATTTAAGATATGTTCTGATTTAGGGTTCTTTATTGGATTGATGGTTGTTTGTTTTTTTCCCTAGTTATGATTTAGTGGTACCATTTCCATCACTTCATTGATATTCCATTTTTAGGGCAATTTACAAGAGGGTTATGTGTTATAAACCCTTCAGACAATTGGGTATACTTGAACAATTCAAAATTGATTGTTTGAATCTTTTCATTGTTTTTTAGACATTTGGGTATACTTGAGCAATTGAAAATTGATTGTTTGAATTTTTTGATTGTTTATTCAGATTACGTTTATTTGAAATCAATTATTCGCTCTTTTAGCTTGGAAAATATACATGAATCTGCATAGAAAGTTTCCTCCCACATTTGGATGATTGGTAGGTAAACACATGAAAATGATGCTTCTACCCTTGGCTATTTTTTTTATTTATTGCTTTTTAATTAGCCTCTAAAAAACTTGATTTCACTATTTCAGCTTGTAGTTCTCAATTTTTGAAGGATCGGATGATTATTGTGTTAAAATTGCTTCGTTTCTATCCCTCTCTTGGTAAGAATCAATTTTCTCCCTCTCTTGGTAAGCATCAATTTTGCCCCTTTCTTGGTAAGCTTCATTTTTGTGTCAAATCTGCAATGTTTTAACTGTTTTTGTTACATCTATTAGTAGGTAAAAGATATATCAACTCTGTTTGGATGGATGCTTCCTGAGGTAATCCATCTCATTATATATCCAAACAAATAGATATTGTAGTTTCCTTAATTATCTAATTAATATTCACTTTATATTACAATTTTAGGGTAGCCAACAACTCTACATTTCAAAGAGTGTGCACTATTTAATGAGATAAATGTTTGATTTAGTGATGAGTAGAAAATTTGGATTCCCATGTACAGTAAGTACTTTTTAAATATTTTTTCATTATCTTATTGCAATTAACTCTCTGTTTTGTTGATCAATAGTTTTAATTTTATTTTTCATGTAGCCTGGTAACTTATGGAATGCAACAATGTCTTGAGAAAAAGATGTTGGTTTTGATAGTTGCTATGTGGATAGAGTGTTTCTTAATAATTATATGGATGACATAGTGTAACGACCCGTTATTTCAAATCAATGTAATAGTATAGATCAACTTGTAATTCATTTTAAAGTAATAAAGAGAAATTACTTGAATAATATATATGCCATTACTTATTTATAAAGATGTATAAATTAAAATAAAAATGATCGTCAAAAATAAATTGTTAGTTGAACTCAATATCTATGGAGAAACCTGTAATGGTCGTGATAAGGTTTCCGAAAATATAAAAGATCGCTAGAATCCGAGTTATAACGAAGAAGTTATGATCTATCGAAGTTTCACCACGGAACCGGCACGACGCTGTGTATCGTAAGAAGTGAAATTACGATAAAATACATTATATCCTTAACAATCTAATTAAAACTTGTTGCATACGTAAAACCGAGAGCGTACATAAAAAGAATGTCCAAATCTGAATTCGTATAAGGAAGTTATGATTTTCTAAGAATCAACACAACAATATACAACCCGGAAATTTTATTATAGATCAAACGATTTTTAGCCGACACAACCTAAAAAAGAATCGAAGATCTCGTCAATAGTAGCTCAACGGTAAAAAGACAGACGAAAATGGATGTCAAACGAAGAAGATATGAATTTTTAACGGATTTTTCCTGTCCTGACCTGTTGAAAATATAATATTAAAAATAAAGTTGAAATCAACCGACAAAGTCTAAACGAAAGTCGTAGAGTATGGTTTCATGACATGTGGATATAAAGAACGTCGAAAATGCAGCTCGTATGCAAAAGTTATGAAATTTTGAAGTTTTGGACACACATTTCGAAGCTTATCCAAAGGGGAACACCATGCGTCCAAGGGAACGCCCCGCGTTCACATGCTGTGACATGTATCTCGCATCTTGACACATCCGAAGCCACTCCTCACTCCCAACACGCTGTGTACGAAGGAGCACGCCGCGTTCCTCGCAGGAACACCTTGTGTACTGAGGTTAGAAGCCTCCTATAAATAGGTTTTAACCCCCCGAAGCCTAGGGAAACCCCCTATAATGCAAAGAAAGCTCGAAGTTCCAAAGTCCTCGAGAAAATAATCTTTTCTAGTCGAAACTTTGCACGCGTAAAGCCCAGTTTTTCATCAGATGCTCGTTGTTTCATCAAAAAAATCATTTCTAGAAACAAAACGCTGCCTAAATCACCACTCATCAAGTGAGCTCAGAACCGTGCATTTTTACTATTTTCACTGCTTTAGGGGGGAGGATACAAGTCTAACACAAGAATATTGTGTTGACAAATAAATTGTATATAGGGGGACCATGGAGACCGAAGCCACCAGCGAGCATTGAAAGGGCAAGCCCCTAGACCCGTGAAAGAATCGCTCCCCCAACACGTTGCCTTGATTACTCGAACGACGACCCAAAAACTAGCACCGTTGCCTTGATTCCTCGAACATGTTGCCTTAATTTGTCGAACGATGACATGATGATGAGCCTCATTGCCTAGATTGGTTGAACGATGGCCCTGGTTGCCTTGATCTTTTGAATGATGACCTGAAAACTAGCTTCTTGGAGAACCAGGGAGCTATCCGCATTGCCCTGATTGCTCGAATTTGGACCGAAAAACTAGCCTTGTTGCCTTGATTCCTCGAATATGTTGCTTTAATTTGTCGAACGATGACCTGATTACTAGCATTGTGGCTTAGATTTCTTGAATGACGACCTTGAAACTAGCCATGTTGCCTTGTTTTCTTGAGCTTGTTGGCTTGATTTTTTGAACGATGACCTGAAAAATAGCCTCTTGGAAAACCGAGAAGCTATCCACGTTGCCTTGATTTCTCAAATTACGATTCAAAAACTAGTCTTGTTGCCTTGATTCGTCGAACATGTTGTGTTAATTTGTCGAATGATGACATGATGAATGGCATTCTTGCTTAGATTTCTTGGACGACGACCTTGAAACTAGCCCAGCTTCCATGTTTTCTTGAGCTTGTTGGCTTGGGTTTTTGAATGATGACCTGAAAACGAGCCTCTTGGAGAACCGGGGAGCTATCCGCATTGCATTGATTGCTCGAATTACGACCCAAAAACTAGTCTTGTTGCCTTGATTCCTCGAACATGTTGCTTAATTTTTCGAACGATGACCTGACTAGCATTGTTGCTTAGATTTCTGAAACGACGACTTTAAAACTAGCTCTGTTGCCTTGTTTTATTGAGTTTGTTGCGTTGATTTTTTGAACGATGACCTCAAAACTAGCCTCTTGGAGTACCATAGAGACGAAGAAACCACTGAGCTCCGACAGGGCAAGCCACAAGACCCATGAAAGAATCCCACCCCCAATATGTTGCCTTGGTTGCTCGAGCGATGACCATAAAAGATGCCACGTTGTCGTGATTACTCGAACTTGTTGAATTATTTTTTCGAACGATGACCTGATGACAAGCCCTGTTGCCTAGATTTATCGAACGATGGCCCTGAAAGATGCCTCCCCCACCACGTTGCCTTCTTAACTAGTTCCATGTTGCCTTGATTTCTCCAACACGTTGCCTTGACATGTCGAACGATGTCCTGAAAACTAGCCCCATTCTCTTTATTTCTTGAACAACAACCTGGAAAATAGCCTCGTTACCTTAATTGTTGGAACACGTTGCCTTGATATCACTAACGACGACCTGCAAAACATGCATGGTTGCCTTGAATACTAGAACACATTGCCTAGAAAACTTGCCTTGATGACCTGAAAACTAGCCTTTTGTGGCCTTGGTTTCTTGAACGATGACCTGAAAACTAGCCACGATGTCTCGATTTCTCCCAACGTCGTGCGCATACTTCAAATTATGCATCCTCGGGCAAATCAATGTCTGTTCCCTTGATTTCTTGAACATGTTGCCTTGATTTC